ATATATATATATATATATGAGAAAACTGTGGGTGAGCTGCCAGCGTTCGAGTTCGGTGCGCTGCAGGGTTTTTTTTGAAAAAAACCCTATTTTTGAGCGCTCGTGACCCAGCTATCACAGCGTCTCTCCCCAAAAAGAGCCCCCCTCTCGTTCCCCAGATCTCTCCCCAAATCCGCCCTCTCTCGTTCGATCTTTCTCTTGATGTGAAAACCCTCCCCCCCTTTCGATCTCTCTCCCCAGAAAACCCCAACCGCCGCCGCTCGTTTCGTCTCGTGAGGCCAACCCCGACTCCCCCTTTCGATCTCTCTCTCGTGAGGCCAACCCCGACCGCCGCCGACCGTCGCTCTCTCCCCCAACAACCCCGACGCCGACCATCCCCAGATCCGGGTAAAATTTCAAAAATCCCTCTTCATCCTTCTCTCGATCCATAGTAATTAAGAAAATACATTATGCTATCAACAGAAGTCTTTTCTTTTGGTTTTGGTTTTGGTGGGGGGTGGGGGGAATCACCGTCCCAGATCTCGACATCCTCATTCAGTTTCTGATACACAGGTGTAGCTGACCACACAAAGAAACCACCTGGGCGTAGGACCCTGTTTAGCTCTAAAAGCAGCGCGCCACCTATTTTCAGTAAAGAACAAGCACGTTAGAACAAATTAGGAAAGTAGGAAACCATAGTAGCCAGAATTTGGAAGGGCAAAAACAGAAATGAGAGAGATATAAATCATACCATTTGCATGCCAGGGGACACGACAGCGAGCACAATGCACAAGGTCAAAAACTCTGCTTGGAAATGGCAGTCGCTGGGAGCCCATGACTGCAGATATTGCTGGAATTCCTCTTTCGAGAGCAAATTGAACTTGAGCTTCATGTTCATCCTTGGGAGCAAAAGACATTGCAAGCACATCTCTCTCAAAGAGATAACCACCAAAGCTAGCAACCCCACAACCAACATCCAGTATCACTCGAGTATGCTTGCCCCATGCAATCTCAGGCACAGACTACGAAGAAAACCGGAGATTCAATAAGATACAGAATTAATGTGCAATGAGTAGGAGACTGAAACAATATATTTTTAATACATACAATTCTGAGATGATTCTATTTGATTTTTCAAAGGCAGTCCTAACTAATAATTATACATATTTAGTTAAATATATATATAATAATTAAAAAATATATAAGGAAATATGCACCAAATTCATAAAGGAGAGGTCTCAAGTCATCACGCTAATAAAACAGAAGTTTGCCAATTATACAGAGGTAAATAAAAATGAAGAGCCATAAAGCAAGAAGCCTTACCTTCTGTACGAAATCAATGTAATGAAGAGCCCCATGAATGAATTGTGTTCCACCTCCAGGAAATGTAAGGTACTCTCCTGTAACTTTCACCCAGTTCTGATGCCCCTTAACTTCAGCGAGCTTAGTGCGGGGAACATTGTTATACCAAATCTAACAAAACACAAATCATTGACATAAAGTTTGCAGGCAACACTAGTATATAAGGGGAAGTTTAAACTCTACTTGTAAACTAGATTTTCTTACCCTGTCTCTGCTCTGAGGCCACTGGATGGATCGCCTATAACCCTTTGGAAGGGGAACAAGACAGGTTGGACTCTCCTCAGGACAATGCCTCTCCCGATGCTCAAAATGGCCAAAGCTGTGAAGCTGCTTGATGGCCTTCTCATTGTCGAGACAAGGGATGTAGTCTGGTCCAGCAGTGACATTACACGACTCCCATTCACCCCCTGAGATGTTTCCTCCTTCGTGTGACAGTACCTCCTCCTTCCTCCTCTCCTTCTCGCTTGAAGACTGGTCTGCCTGTGTAACCCATGTCCCCTCGTCGCTCTTGTTCTCTTCTGCGACAACTGATTGGGTCCCGCCATCCCTGAGAGGCTCATTTACAATCTGGTTGTCTTCATTTTGCTGACTGTTTTCATTGTTTCCTCCGATAGTACTTTCATATTCTGTCTGCTGTGATTGGGAGGACTCTTGCTGCCGTTGTTCTTGCTGATGCTCTTCCTGTTCTTGCTGCTGCTCTTCCTGCTGCTCCTGCTGCTGTTGTTGTTCTTGTTCTTGTTGCTGTTCCTCCTGCTGCTCCTGTTGTTGTTGATCCTGCTGTAGCTCTTGTTGTTGTTGCTCCAGTTGCTGTTCTTGCTGTTCATCCTGCTGCTGCTCTTGTGGCTGCACCTGTTCCTGTTGTTCCTGGCTCTGCTCTTGTTGTTGCTCCTGTTGCTGTTGCTGATTGTCGAGCTGTTGTTCTTCTTGTTGTGAATTCTGATTGTTTTCGGCAGTTCCATCAATGTCGTGTTCAATCTGAGATTGGCTTATGATGCCCCCTTCTTCTTCTTTGGAGTGACTCCCATCTATTACTTGTTCGATAACATTCTGGGCTCCATTGTTGTTAGTATCCTCCTGATTCTGCTCCTCTTTGTTGATTTCACTCTGCTGCTGCTGCTGCTGCTGGTGGTGGTGGTGATGTTCTTCATTATTCTGCTCCTCGATTTGTTGCTGATCGTCATTTCTCTGTCCAGTAGCTCGTGGTTCCTGTAACTGCTGCTCTTCTTCATTGGTAAGGGCGAGGGAGGCAGCATCAGAATTGCGTTCCTGGTCCTGGGCTTGATCCTGTTGTTGGGTGACCTCCTCTTGGTTGATTCGATGAGTCTCGACCTCTTCTTCCTGCTGCTGCTTCTCATGCTGAACAGCCTCTGGCTCGGGAAGGCTGTCTTCCTCGGTCCCGGCTGAAGTACTGGTCACATGTTGTTGGTTCTCTTGGCCAAAAATTGAGGAAGAGATAGATTCATGATGTCCTTTGACGGCATCCTCAGGGAGATCGCCCTGTGTGTCATCACGAGCCTCAACCATAAACAGGAGGAGGATCCCGCAGAACGGTTTCTGGGGCGAGGGTAGACGGCCATTGCTCATGGTGGCTGTGGCTGACAAATGAAACCACGCGGGTGTGGAATGCGTAGAATTTGATGGCGAGGAGGAGAGTGGAGGCAGGAGCGGAGGACGGAGGTGAACATGGTAGACGGCAAAAAGACAACAGCCCACAACGGAGGAGAGTGGTTGGTTGTGAAACATAAGGTGAGGAGGAGGAGCTCTCTCCTAGCCACTGCGCCGCGACTGTTCTTGCCTTGAAACCCGCCATGGCCGTTGATTGTTTGTCATGGGCGCGGAACCAGGCGAGAATGGAGGGCGAAAGACAACCAAAGACGCAAGAATTGTCCTTGTTTGTGCGTTTGTTAGTGTCTTATTGATTGTAAGGAGTTGGAGGGAAAAGAGGGCCTTGACAATTTCAAAAGTGCCTATTGATGCCGGCGAGCGCTGGGGGACTGTGGCTCAGACAACCCAAACGGGAGAATGAGCTAATTGCCGAGAGTAAAATGAGTGGGAGGAGAGGCTGAGGATGAGAAAGACCCAATAATTCTGGTAGGAATTTGAGGGTGGATACTGTCAAAGCCAGAGGCTCGTAACGACACGATTTGGATTTTGAGGGAAGCTCCCCTCCCCATGATTCGGAACTCTGTTTAGTAGCAGGAGTTGACGGTTACAAATTACAGTTGAAGAGCCAGGGTGGCCAGCCACGTAGCCTTGTCCCATCAGGAATAACACGCGTAGGCAGCATCCTCGCCCACCGACACTCGCATTCGTCTTGGAGTGAACGGTCGCTTGCCACCGCCAGCTCTTAACTAACCACTAAATATGACGACACTTTACTCCTCTTAACTAGTAACAATAATCTCCTGGGATGCCTAATTTAATTGTACAATGAAGTGCATCCCAGTAGTGCCACTCATTACTGGGATTCTCCAACAGAGACGGATTTTAGAGAGCTTGGATTTAATTGGGTTAGCTCCGTCCAATGCAAACCCCTCAATTCGCATTTGCTCCTAATCACTACACTACTCATTTAATTGGGTTAGCTCCGTCCAATGCAAACCCCTCAATTCGCATTTGCTCCTAATCACTACACTACTCTATGGCGATTCAGCTGCACACACGGATACACATGGGATCCAAAATGACGCATAATATGAATTATACCAAATATGAAAAGTTGAGCAGTACAATGTCCAAGCATCCGTAACCACTAGAGAACAGAGATGCAAATTATGTATCAAACTGAATCAGCGAGCAGGGGAAAAAAATTATTTATTTATTTATTTTTGATTGATTCACATCATATTTCTAGCATAGATGACAGAACTCATTGTTGTGGACCTTGAAAAGCCTTGACAACATCCTCTGCTCTCGATTGAATGCCTCTTAGATACTCGGTTAGGATGCGCTGCTGATAAGAGCCTCCTTCCTGTCACAAAATATTAGTGTTGAAAATTATAAAACCATATATTGCATGCCTATCAGTTGAGAGTTGAAAGGAAAAATATCTTGATCTTACTGTACGAATTAAGGTTCTCTCTATCCTCTTTTTAATAACTGAATAAAATTCCTCAGGTGAAATTTCTCCTTTTCCAATGTTTAGTCCCTCTATCAACAACTTATTCCAGTTCTCCTCTGAAGCTGCAACAAGCCAACATGTTTAGATCATCTGAAATGCCTTTATTAAATTTTCAGTGTAAACCTTATTTTACACTGAGAAAAATTTTTCTGACTGCCTTTCACTCAAGAAATCTTAACTCATAAGGATTCGGGTGTGGAAATCATCTAGGTAGAGATAAATATTACGAAGTTACAGCTGAAGTGTCATGCATTTTGTGTGTGTTACATGTATGTGTGTTCTTGCGGTTTAGGTCATTGTGTATTTTCAGCAAGTTGGAGGTGGTAAAACATGGGTCGACTTATACCATCCTACTCCACCACATACTCCTGCTTCACAAGTAGATAACCACTAGGCTCCAAAAGCCTGTAATAATGTGCTTCTAATTGTTTTCCTTCAAAAATGTGCTCCTAATTGTTTATCGAAAGCTACTTTTTCCATCAATTTCGAAGAGATCTAAACCAATTCCTTTCACTTGAAATGCAAGTGATTATAATGCTTGGGCTAAAGCTCAATTGGCGGTAGATGTTAAGTGAAGCTAATTAAGAAGCTAAGCTAAGCTTTAGTCTACCTTAGGCAATCATATGGCTCCCTGATTATGTAAATGTAACAGATGGAATGCTATGGGCCGAAAAAAAGATAGTAAACTAATTTGAAAGGTGCAAACAGTCCAAGTGGAGAACTTTATAAAAGATGCTTTCTCCTGTGGAAGGACCAGATTATGACAAATTCAAGTTACCTGCGATTATGGTTTCAAGAAATTGTTCCGCCACTAAAATTTTGTCCCCTGCAATAGAAAATAGTTTAGCAATGAAACAAAGAAGAAATTACTTCTCTACTGATTGACAAGGTATAGAAGGATTTATCAAGTGAAACAAACCAAATGGATGAACATAATGTTAGAGAATTCATTGTAATACTTCTTGCAGGCCATGCAGAACATCTAAAGAAGATGAAAGAACCAAACAACAAAAACATAGTCAGAATCTAGAAAAATGTCTGCAGAAACAAACCGTGAAGCAAGATCCACGAGAGAAAAAAGAAAAAAATAACATGAAT